CTTAATTTAGGCTTCCAATTGCGTTGTAAGGGTCTTCTAGCGCGTTAGTTGCGCAGTGTTGTTTAAGAGATGTTGTAGAGCTGTGCAGCGCGTTTTACACTTAAAGTTGCGTTTTGTTTAATAGCCTAAAGAGCAAGCTGTATATTTGCTTTGTTTAAGGTTAATTGCGCGTTTGTAGGTGGAGGCATTGTATTTCAAAGTAATAGAGTCGCGATTTTGGTGGGGTCTTGGCATAGGGTGGCCGCATACTTGGGGTGGCCGCATGCTTGTGAAGTACGTTACACGTTTTGCAATCTTGACTCAATTTCTACTCACCAGTGGATATTCCTCTACCGTGTGACTACAAAGTGAATAAGGCATGTGACTAGTAGCCGGCCGTTCTTTTAGTATTGTTCTGAGAATATGCGGAAGGACAATTGAACCTGAGACTGTCTGTCCCGGTACACACCCTGAGACGGGACAAATTCACGAATTAGGCATATCAAACTCGCTCCCTCAGGGATTTATAAAATTCTTACCAATAGTTCACCATGTTTCAGTCATTTTTCTACCCAGAAACCACTTTACATCGAAACACTCACTATGATCGATTATACTGTCGATCGCGCCGCCACCGAATTGAGAGCCACTTCAACCTCCTCTGCGGCATGTAATCTTAGCGCGTATTGACGTAGATAACATCGGATTGTGTTTGACTGGACAAGTTCTATGACTATTCCCTTCTCAAAATAACCTCGAAAAGTTACTTTGCTCTGAGGGAGAGAACATGAGATAACTACGAAATAAAGGAAATCATCCTATACAGTTTCTTCTATACTTATAGATAGAATTCCTTTTCTCTTCTTGGTCCCTAGTTATCCCAATGTGTTGTCCTGATCCCCTGGGGGGGTGTCAACTTGGATCAGCCTATCGGGGATAACTCTCGTAGTCACGTGATTTACCCCGCTTCGTAACATCATGATGCACTCAAGACAGTAGTATTACACGGTCTGCAGAAGTTGTGCCTAAAAGGTATTATACCTAAACAAAAGAGTATAATGCAAAGCCTTTATTCCGAGAATATCTATGCTACCAGCTTATCGTTGGCTCTGTCGTATTGAAAACCATTGGCACAGTCTCGGCACGGTGGGTGCTCTGCGACATGGGGGGATGTTATCAAGCCTTTTTCTTGAGCACGCCCCAAATTCTAGGCAGGCAGCTATGCGGATCATCTGCCACCTCAATGCTACCGGGGTCCTCCCACTCCCCAGCAGCCAGGATATCCTCCATGATATTTCGATTCAGACAACACCCGACGAGTGCGCTCCAAGCAGGATTCCAACAAGCTATTCTCATATTAGCCCCTGCACACAAGCGCACCCGTTAATATGGTAATTAATACGTACCTTGCGCCATGGCCGACGTAGTATCCTTATTTCTCACATGCTCCCAAAACACAAAGCTCCCCCCCGGCTTCAACAACTTCCATACCTCTCTCATCACACTCTGTACATCCCCCACCGAACACAGCACCTGAATACTCAGTATAGTATCCATGCTCCCCTCGGTGATCCCCTCCCTTCTTAGAATATCGCTGTCTTCAATACCACAGACAAGAAGCTTGTGCTTATCCTGGAGATCTGTTTTCTTGAGTTTTGTGGCAATGTCGTCTCCATAGTGTGGGTTGGGTTCAACGCCATATATAAAGTTCACGAGCGAAGGGTCGTAGCGGTGGATCTGATTGCCTGTTCCAGGGCCGAGTTCGAGGATTGTGCCGTGAGCAGAGAGGAGAAGGGAGGGGACACAGGTGGTGTCTTCGTAGGCGATAAAGCCTTTAGCTGTACGCGAGTTAATATGTACGGCGTTGGGGTTGATGATAGGGAAATTACAATATGTGCTGAAGAGTTTTGCTGTAGCAGCGTCACGAATTTTTTGGGGATGTGCAAGCGAGGCGAGGCCATCTTTGCGAAGGGCTTCTTTAAAAGCCTCGTAATGCGCTATCTTGGAATTAGTATGTTGATATAGGCGAGGATGAGGAATGAGAATTACACTTCACGGATAACCAGATGAGGCGGAATGGTCCGATGATGCCACTGAAGCGACCTTGACCAGCCATGGTGCTTTATTTCATATGGCTTGTAAGTATAAAGACGATAGATAGAGTGAGGTAGTGGTAACTCACATAGTGCAAATGAGGATTTGGTACGAGACTGAGAGCTGATATATGGCAAAACTGAGTAGGAGAAATGAGATGATTGTAATAACGAGGCCCGCGAGGGTCTAACTGCGGTATATATAGCGACAAATCGATGAGTAAGCAATGAAAAGGAACCACGACCCCTGCGGAAATGGTAGCCATAGACGAAGCACGCGAGCTGAACCGCAATAGGATTGTGTGATAAATTGAAGTGTGCGTAAGAATACGGAGGTGCCGCCAAAAGGAACGGCCGGTGGACCGTGCGCGAGGAACATCAAACCCGCGACCTCCTCTTTTTATAGGGCCGACGATGACTTCCCAGTATGACAATGAGGCTTTGAGATTCGAATATGATCTATTATATATATTGGAGGACCGGAGCTTAGAGGTGGAACTGTAGTCCTAAGATGGTATTATGCTATAAAAGGTAGCTCCTTACTAACCAGGCGATGAGGCAGTAATGCAGTCGTAATTTTCAGGTATGAGGGGCAATGGTAGTTCATGATTGACTAATGTACAGGATTTGCTCGGAAAAATATAAACATACATAGGGATGCAAACTTGAGAATGTTTTGAAGACGAAGTACCCGTCTCAGGCGTCCCGGGATGTCAGCTTGTCATTCAATCACCTCCAACACGCGTTCTGGCATACTCAGAAATGGGCTATGACCAGCCCCACACCACAATTCCTTCATATCCACACCCGTATCTTCCACCTTCTACACCATCGTCTTCTGAATTTGAATTGGAATCCCCTTACCATTCTCGCAGTACAGGTACGTAGTTGGGTGATATTAGTACGCAAGATTGGTGAGGGGTGTGATGTTCGCGATATGGGGGAACTTGACCAATTAGTCCGCCCATTTCATTTTATCCGCGGCCGAGAGATCGTTGCAGAAACGGAACTCGGGGTCCACCATCGTGCTCATGCCGTTTTCCTGCCACAACCTTATCAGACGCGCCACCCCCCTACGATACGAATAGGAAGAATTGCTCGAGTAAGAGAACTTACATCCACTGGCAGAAAAGCTGGCGTCTCTCCCTAAACACACTCAATAAGTACTCCTCCATCCCTAGTAGAAATGCACACATGTGCATTATCTCCTCTACGCCTCCCTGCTGTCTATTCTGCTTTCTTACTTTTTGCGAAGCGCTGTTCTACGGCTTGCGCCGTTATTATCCCGCCATTGGAATGCGCGACTACAACAACGTTTTTCCCCTCCTCTTCAATGAGCTTGTGCTGCTCTTCGCGGATAAATCGCGCGTCCTCGCCCATGTCTGTTGGTGCCTGTTTTCCCGCGGTGGGTAGCAACGGACATGACGTTGGGTATTCGGCATTCTCAAAAACGGAGCGGACCGGTGTGAAGTGGGCGGGTGTATGCCAGGCGCCATGGACGAAGAGGATGGTTAATTTTGGTTCTGCCATACTTAGGTGATGATTTTTCTGCGTCGATGGCTTGAACACTCACTGAGAGGCTAGCGGTCATGTTTAAGTTGGTCTCCGTATTGAATTGAGGGTTACTGCAGAAGTGCCGATTTCGAATCTCTGATGTGGAATCATAGCCGGGAGTTTGAGCCTATTGACTAGATTGGAAGTGGTTTGCATTTTGTGCTGCCAATCCCCTGCTAGGTGGAAGGGTATTGTCGTCTGAGTAAGATTCGGCTAGCGGAACTCCCCCGTCACTCAGATTTGGCCCTTAGATAGTAGTGAAGGCGAGAAGATAGGTCAACAGATTGTGCAGATAGATGCATTCACTTCAATTTTCGAAGTCTTTGGCATCAGCTTGAATGCCGTGGCGTTGAAACCGAGCTATGGTAGCGCTTCGCTTGGCTTCAAGTAGATGCGAGGCGTTCAGAGTGCTCAGAATACACTGAGAAAATAATGGAGACTGGCTCTTCAGTTGCATATATTTCGGAATATGGCATGCAACAATTATGAGAAAGCTAGATTTGGAGAATCTGGGGTGCCTAGTGTATGGAAGTGCTCACCTCGAAACAGGAAGAAAAGCGACGAGGGAGGATATTGAGAAAGAATTCATCTATCCAACACTTCCAACCAAACACAGTACGTAGAAAGCTTAGTAAAGTCCTAGAGATTTGAACAATTCCTTCCTCTAAGGATCTAGCAAATCCACCTTGTTAGACCGATTGGAGATGTTATTTGTTAGTTGAATGGGCTCAACATCTCAATAAACGAGTTTTGCCACCTCAAGACGGTGTCTGTAGAGGCTCATTCAAAAATAGCTTGGCAAAAAGAGAAATCTCTCTCTACGAGAATCGAACTCGCGCCTTCGGTGCGACAAGCCGACATAATTACCACTGTGCCAAGAGGGACTTTGGGGTTTCTGCTTTTTTTGAATACTACCTTCTTTACAGTAACTAGTATATATACATATGCGCGTCATTACGCATGTGGTATTCTTGCATCCGCGGTCTTTCACCTACTATTTGTAACACATTATGCCTGATGTTAGTGACCATGAACTATAGATATAATACAAGCGAAGCGACAGTATCCTAGATTCAAGTCGCTTGAATGACCCAACGTGATGTGTGCATATCCGAAGACAGACTGCTGAACACCCGAGCAATTTCATTGACAGTTGCTTCCAGCGCACTATCAGAACAAGACTCCGATGCAGCTATAATTTAAAAGATCGTGTCGTACCTTTACAGAAAAAGTTCTAGGCGTTGACCACAAGACGGCCAGGTGCTACATCATCATTATCATTATACATAGATGTATTCAGGAACAGTAACAGATTAAATGGCGATAGTATGTATACATGCAATTAATAACCTACACAAATATACACCCCATCCATCTCTACCAAACCACCTATCTAGGCAGCAATTTGTGATTCTGCTTCCCCCACTTCATCTGATTATCCACCTGATCGAACTTCTGCGAATTCGCCCCCTTCGCATACACCCACTCCCTCGCCCGTCGAGCCACCGCCTCGCTCCTTTGTGCCTTCTTCTCAGCCGAAACGAGCGCCTGCCGCTGTTGCACTGAAATGCCTGATATGCTCATCTCTTCACGACGTGCCAGTTGTCGGCCCGGCGCTGCTTGTCGGCCCGACTCCAGCTGCGGCCCGACGGCCATTAGCGACAACTCTGCATCCTCGGAACCCGGGGGCAAAGCTCTCATCGCGAGCCCCCGTTTCCTAGACGCTTTCTTAATCGCGGGAGCAGCATGTCTCGAGCCAATCACCTTGCCAGAGGCGAAGCGGATCTCCGTCGCGGACAGGCTAGTCGGGGGTTCCTGTTCTAGCGCGGCGCCGTCCCCGTCGACCCCTCGCGGGCTCTCCCAGAAGTCAAGCAGTTCCGGCTCCCTGTCCAGGTTCAAGAGACAGTGTCCCTTGTCCCTCATGTGGCTCTGTATGCTCAGCGTTGAGGGCTTCGTGGCGCCGCAGTAGAGGCATTCGTGCCACACCCGGATCTCCGTGGCCAGGTACCCTACGAAGCTCTGCATGTCTACCACCATTTCCGGGTCTGGGATGGACATCCCGTGGGCTGTACGCATGTGCTCGAGGTTTGTTGCAAAGCCGGCGTCGTCGCTTGCGAAATCCCGGCTACAGAATAGACATTGGAAGGGCGATGCGCTTTGCTCTCCCTCGTTTTCCGAGGTCTCCTCGTCGCTGCTGCTACTAGTAGATGCCTCGCTAATTTCAATCTTTTTCTCTATCCGTATGTCGAATGCATCGAAGGGGATCGACGGTAATGATGCCATGCGCCGCTTGATGTTGTATACGCTGTTCTAATGTCAATTCTCGTGATCTAGACTATAATCGTGTTGATTTGGACGTACTGCCATGGCTCTTTCATGTGTATGCGCTGCTCCTGCCCATTTTGGAAGGAGATCTTGCAAGAAGTGCACAAGTAGGTTGTGGATGGGAGTAGGGAGGGAGATTGCTCAGTATGGTCATCGGCGTCAGTGCCCAGTTTGGATGATGTAGTGCTTAGCATTGCTTCAGTGATGACTAGAGAAGAGAAAGATCAATTAAAGATATTCGTGACCACAATGGTGAATTGCTCGTTCTTATATACTTTGCGCATAGACTAGCTCTAAAGACATTGAGACTACTACTCAGCGGGAGTCACTTCCAATGCACGGGCCATAACTGGCTGCGCCCGGCCAGGAAGCTTCCACGGATGGCCAATTCCGAGTGCATAGCAGACATAGCCGACTGAATTAAGATATAATTAGTGGTCGGAGGACTTCCGAGCGTGACTGCTAGCATAGTTGGATATCAAACTGTACGCCTTGAAGTTCTATCTCAGAATGAGTCATTTGAGCTAGACCCGTATTAGGAAAGGCGTCGCTCCCCGCCACCGAGAACATCATGCGCCGCGATAATGACCCATCCATCAGCTGCAAAATCAATCCGGACAAGCAACGGCCGCAACACGAGGTGCGGAGCCTCAAGGATGCAGCTCGTGTCGTGGGCTTAGATGAGAATAAGCATTTGCTCGAGCTGTTCTTACGATCCTAGATCAAAGGCTGTTAAAGAAGTACCGAGGTATTCTGTATAGAAATACTCGCGACTTTTCTCTATAGTATATCTCTTATATTGCATAGACGACCCAACCTAATCTACTCTTATCTCTGACTTACGCGATGATATAGTCGCCTCTGGAGCCCGTTCCGACGCCAACTCTTCTCTACGCGAGAACCATGGGCTACTCTCGAGGATGTAGCCTATCCCTACGACGCCACCGTCCCTATTTCGTTGACGTCTTATACTCCATCAGTTTGCAAGTTGCAACAAGTATGCACATATCTAGATCGACCCTGAATTCTTGTAACCGCGACATTAATGTGTGGTGACCCTTCAGATAGTAGAAATTGCCCTGCATCTACGTCACAGTCACTGGGTCGGTAATAAGGATTTAATTACCCCACATCGCATGTTCCTCGAGGGGTTTCTACTGGAACCCTCAAGAGGAAGCTGAATTCCACGAACCAATGTACTTCCGTGTGCGACAATAGAAATGCAACATCGCCCAGGATTCATATTAAATTACACATCGGCGCGATGTTTTTAAGGAACCACCTGCAATCACCTTGCGCCAGACTTTCTTGCTCGTTTATTGCACTCATCATGATTTCTCGTAACTTTAACATCGCTCTTGCAGCGCTTGTGGGACAACAGATCGTTTTCTCACAGCCCAGTTACCGCAATGCAAATGCAAATCCCTCGTCTCGTGCGTTCCTTTCCACTATTTCATGCCGACTCTGCTCATTCGCCATACTAATAAACTCCCACAGTGGTGCAACCATTATACACGCCCCTTGTACTGGGTTCCATTAAGCCCCTAGGATGGTTCAACGACCAACTCCAACTCGAAGCGGACGGATTGTCAGGAAACATGTTCGACTTTTACCGCTTCGTGAACGATTCGCGATGGATTGGAGGTCATACGGAGTACTCGGCGCTAGATGAGGCCAGTCCATACTGGTTCAATGCAATCGTGCCGTTGGCCTTTGGACTTGGGGATGAGAGGTTGATTGGGCAGGTTTGTTTTCTTGATGGCGAGAATTCGCGAGCTCATGAAGATAGGTGAGGTATTATCTGGATTATGTGTTAGACCATCAGCAAGAAGATGGTTGGTTGGGATTTGAGAAGACGAGAGCAACTAGGGGCGTTTGGGCACGCTGCTTGTTGTTTTTAGGGTTAATGGTGAGTTATTCCTTTCTCAGCTTTCTCATCTATCTCCAGTTATTGGAGGCGGTGAGAACGAGCTTCAATAGCCCTTCCAATTTCCTTAAGCTTCGAAACATAGTCAGTGTTGGACAGGATTGTTCCAATATGCCCACCTCAGCAGTTAGAAACTAAGTCACTCGTTTCACTATTTAGCAATATGCCGATGCCGATCCCACGCAAACCGATCGCATCGTTACCGCCATGCACCGCTATGTCAACCTGGCCCACAGCATGCTCTCAAACAACTACACGGGTCTCCTCGTACACGGTAATGACACATTCGACACTGCAGGCTTTGGAGTGGGTCGAACCCACGAATACCACATCCCGCTGCAGTGGCTCCTCGAAAACCATCCACGCAATAATTCGAAGACTCTGTTGGAGATGATGGATTTTATGATTGATGGAGGCGTCCAGTGGGGCGCAGACTGGAGGACTTTCTGGACTAAGGAATCGTATCCGAAGGTATTGGATGATAATTATAATATGAGCTGGGTTTTCATTCACGGGGTTAACATGGCGCAAGGTTTTAATCCCTTTTTTAAGATCTATGATCCCAACTGACTGTGAACGACAAGGACTACGATATCCCCTGTCACTATATCGTAACACTCATGACGAAGCTCTGAAACAGACGAGCAGAACGGCACTCGATCTGCTTGCCAAATATCATACTTCCACAGCCGGATCCATCATCGCAGATGAATATATCAGCGACCTAAACCCGAGCCGAGGCTCAGAGCTTTGCATTGCAGCGGAAATAATGTTTTCCACAGCTTACATGTACCAATTCCTCGGGGACAACGACATTGCGGACTGGACGGAACAGACCGCTTTCAATGCGTTCCCAGCAGCGGTGAGCGCGGATTGGTGGTCTCATCAGTATGTGCAACAGGAAAACCAGGTATGTGCAATATGTAGGAAATGAAGGTGCTTATTACTGATCCCATCAGCCGTGGTCAAGGAATTTGAGTACTGCTGCTGCGTGGTATGATGTTAACTCGTATGCCAACGTTTTTGGTCTCGAACCGAACTACGTAAGTTTTACCTATTATTCACAAGACGTTCAGTGAAGCACACCGCTAACATCTATCCTAGCCATGCTGCACAGTGAACCACCCGCAAGCTTACCCCAAATTCCTAGCCAACTCTTTCGTCAAAACGGCAGATGGAGGCGTCGCACACGTGTTCCTCGTTCCCGGCAGCGCAGCAACAACCCTGGGCGAAGACAACTCCAACTCTGTTTTCATCACCGCAAACACAACATATCCCTTCGGTAATACAATCGCATACTCGATCACTGCATCTTCACCCTTCGACTTCTCCGTCCGCATCCCCAACTGGGCAGACGCAAACAGCACCATCAATAGCACCACACGAATCCAGCCCGACAGCCGCGGCATGCACAAATTCCACATCCCCGCCGGCAAGTCCTCAACCTCAGTGCAACTATCGACCTCTCCTCGCGTCGTCCCACGTGCCAACAACACGGCCGCAATATACTACGGCGCCCTTCTCTACGCCCTAGCAATCGAGCACGACTCCGTTTCCACCCCGCCAATATCCTACCGCAGCCAAGAAGTCCTCCCCTCTAATACCACGGACCCCTTGAGCCGCACGCGCGAC